AAAGAAAGAAAGAAAGAAAGAAAGAAAGAAAGAAAGAAAGAAAGAAAAGGACAAAACCACAGCAAAACAGCTCAATGAAATGGAGATAGGCAATATGCCTGATAAAGAATTCAAAGTTTAGTGATCATAAAAATACTCAAGGACTTGAGAAGAGAGTGGAGGATCTCAGTAAGACCTTCAACAAAGAGATAGAAAATATAAAAAAGAACCAATCAGAGATAAAGAAAGAAATCAATACCTGAAATAAAAAAATACACTGGAGGGAATCAATAGCAGATTAGAAGAGGCAGAAGAGCTCATCAGTAACCTGGAAGACACGGTAACAGAAAGCAACAATGTTGAACAGCAAAAAGAAAAATAAAAAATGAGAATAGGTTAAGGGAACTCCATGATGTCATCAAGGGTAATAACATTTGCATTATAGGGACCTCAGAATAAGAGAGAGAAAAGGGGGACAGAAAATTTATTTGAAGAAATAACTAAAAACTTCCCTAATCTGGGGAAGGAAACAGACATCTAGGTCCAGGAAGCACGGAGAGTACCCAACAAAATTAACCCAAAGAGGTCCACACCAAGACATGTAATAATTAAAATGGCAAAAAGTAGGGATAAAGAGAATTTTAAAAGCAGAAAGAGAAAACAGTTACATATGAAGAAAACCCCAAAAGGCTATCAGCTAATTTTTCAGTAGAAACTTTGCAGGCCAGAAGGGAGTGGCATGATATACTCAAAGTACCAAAAGAAACAAACCTGCAACCAAGAATACTCTACCTAACACCATTATCATTCAGAATAAAAGGAGAGACAAAGAGTTTCCCAGACAACAAAAGTTAAAAGAGTTCATCACCCCTAAAGCAGGCTTATAAGAAAACTAAAGGGAGTTGTTTGAGTGGAAAGAAAAGGCCATAATCAGGAATACGAAAATTATAAAAGGAAAAAATTTCACAGGCAAATGCAAACATATAACAAAAGTAGTAGGTTAATCATTTATAAAACTAGTATGGAGGTTAAACCACAAAAGCAGTAAAATTAACTAAATCTATAAAAATCAGTCAAGGGATTAACAGAATAAAAGTATATAAAATGTGATATCATATACATAAAACATGGGAGGGGAAGTAAAAATTTAGTGCTTTTAGAATGTGTTCAAACTTAAGTGACCATCAACTTAATATAGATTGCTATATGCAGAAGATGTTATATGTAAACCCAATGGTAACCAAAAATCAAAAACCTGTAATACATACATAAAAATAAAGAGAAAGGAATCCAAACATATCACTAAAGAAAGCCATCAAACCACAAAGGCACAGAGCAAAGGAAGAAAAAAGGAACAGAGAAGAACTACAAAAACAAATGTAAACAAGTAGCAAAATGGCAATAAGTACACACCTATCAATAATTACTTTTTTTCAATAATTACTTTAAATGTAAATGGACTAAATACTCTAATCAAAAGACATAGAGTGACTCAATGGATAAAAAAGCAAGACCCATCTATATGTTGCCTACAAGAGACTCACTTCAGATGTAGACACATGCAGATTGAAAGTAAAGGGATGGAAAAACATTTACCATGCAAATAGAAGTGGAAAGAAAGCTGTGGTAGCAATACTTATATTGGACAAAATAGACCTTAAAACAAAATCTATAAAAAGAGACAAGGATAGTACATAATGATAAAGGGAACCATCCAATAAGAGGATATAACAACTGTAAATATGCACCCAACATGGGAGTACCTAAATACGTAAAGTAACTATTGATTGACATAAAGGAAGAAATTGACAGTAATACAATAATAGTAGGGGATTTTAACCCCTACTACATCAATGGATAGATCATGCAGACAGAAAATCAACAAGGAAAGTGGCTTTGAAAGGACACATTGGACCAGACAGACCTCACAGATAAATTCAGAACATTCCATCCCCAAACAGTGGAATACACATTCTTTTCAAGTGCACATGGAACGTTCTCCAGAATAGATCATATTAGGCCACAAA